TATCAGTGCAAATAGCTTTAAGTGTCTTGTCATAGTATTAATTGTTTTGTATATAGAATTTTTACCTTATATTTTTTTTACATTATTTCTTTTTTTCGATTGATTTTATTATGGCCAGATGTAATACTTTAATTTTGTTCTATTTTGTTATTCTCAAGGGACTGTGTCCCAGAATAAAGTTATTTTTCTATTCTATTCTATTCTAATATTCGTCACGTTTTACTAAAGAGCTATATTAAATATTATTTTATTATTATGTCTAGATATCTATCTTAATAGTAATATTTACTAAATTTAAATTACAAATAAGTCGATTATAATAAGTATTAACACGAAATTGATCGGGCTAAAGAATTTTCTTTATTTTGAACAATTTAATTGATATCATCTCATCGAATGGCATATCAATGAAATTTAATTTTAAAGACGAAATAATGTATATTTAAATAAGGTAATACATGTTAGATTTCGTGCAATTTAGTATTCTTACTTTCGCTTTTTCATGTGAACGGGAGGGGGGGGGCTCTAAGCTGTTAAAAGCTTTAGTGTGTTTATTAATAAAAAGAAAAGAACTGAAAAAATCATATCATAAAACATAAGTTTTACACGTTTCTTTTATATAATTTTCATATGTTTTTTTTTTTTCTTACAAATGTATCCATAATTTTATTAGTAACAGAATAGCCATATTATTTTATCTCTTCTCTCTCAGAGAGTTTCTTAAGTAATTTTTTTAACACGCTTTAAAACATAAAATGATCTTTCTTCTTAGATAGCGGAAGAGTTAAAAAAATAAATACTGTTTCAACATAAGAAATGTGCACAGGCGGATCTACGGTAGAGGGGGCTTTCGGGCTGAAGCCTCCTCCCCCCCTCAAAAAATGGTAAAATATAATCATGTTTTACAGAAAAAAATATTAAAAACTATCTCATAAAGTATTCTTGTTCGTGTAATTATATTTAATAGAACTTCAAGAACCACTTAAACACCATTTCATATAGGTAATTAATTTCTTTTTTTTTTCCAAATTAATTATCGTTATATGTATATGAAAAAAAAATCTTTCGGGCTGAGGAGAAGCCCTCCCCCTCAAAATTAAATCCTGAATCCGCTAGAGGGAATGTGTAAGATATTTATTTGGATGTTTATAGTCGTGGTACAGACCCCTTTTAATCAAATTATTAAAACCCCCCTGAAACTTCTTAAATAGCTTAATCACATCGTAACCTACAAATATTTTATTTACGAAAATTCTCGGAATTGGGGCGTTTTCAATCTGGAGATCTGCAAACTTTGTCTATTTAATTAAGTTCTAAAAACTCCTAGACAGAAGTACCCATCCCCCCCTCCAGGCTGATGGTGCAATAAACCTTCTCAGGATCAGGCTAATTCAGGGGGTTACTGAGATTACTGCAACACTTTTGTATTGTTTTGTATTTTTTCTGTTAGAAGGCTTATTTCACAGTTAAAGTGTCATTTCTAGAACAAGATTTTGTTCTATAAAGAAACATCAGCTGTGAAATTAGTTTTTGTGTCTCAATGCAGCCCATGGAACTAATTCCAATTCTCAATATGACTGGTGAATCAAAAAATTTGGAGGCCCTAGGCTAATTATTCTAGTAAATGCTTTATTTTCTCTTGAAATTTGATTAGTTCATCCTGAAATCGATTCAAAGTTACACAACCAGTGTGTAATTTTTTTCAAGCATAAAAAATGACAAATATTAGTTGCTTTTTCGACAGAGTAATTTCCTCTTATTAATGTAGGCATAGATAAAATAAAATTAGAGAGAGAAAAAAAATGAAACTGTATTAACAAGTAATTTCTGTTATATTATAATGATATAATTTAGAATTTTTTTATAAAATGGCGAATGGCAGATGGATAATTTTTGCATTAAATTTAAACCAAAATATTCAAAAATTGTTATGTAAAATTTTAATTTCTAAGAAGATTGTAATGTATTTTTTTATTTTTTCTAAAAGTGTATATTTATATTTTACCATTGTACCTAGTTGTAAGTGTCTTGGCAAGGTTTCTAGAATTTTGTATATAGATTTTTTATTTTGTAAATAGTATGTATAACTAATATTTTCTTTACTGATTTATCTTTACCTTTACTTTTTATGTTTGTTTTTATTTGGCCAGATATAACATTTTAATTTTGTAATTTTTTGTTATTCCGAAGGGACTTCGTCCCAGAATAAAATTATTTTCTATTCTATTCTAATTGTTAAGGTGGGTACTACAACAACGTTATGATTACATTACTAATAGAACAGCTACAGTAAGTATTTTTTACTTTATTTGTTATCAATTTTTAAGTTAAACGGTATGATAATTTATACAACAAAGCTAGAGATGCCCTTAGATTTGCTTCCTGATGGTAATTTAACTAGCTGATATTTTTTTTAATAATTTAGTTAGTACAAAAATTATAGATTAAATTAATAAACTCTGCTACATTTTTTAAATTGATTATTTACTAGATCTAAATTATCAGCTGTGTTGCGTACCCAAACCCGAGTTAACTACCTCAAAACCAGAGACGTAACTGTGGAGGGGAGAGGGTGGGAGAAGATGCCAACAAAATGTTTAATAAAATCAGTTTTTTCTTTTCTTTTAGGATCTGAAAAGAAAAATCAATCTATGAATTTAAACTGAACATAAGTAAAATTAATGGAAAAGGTTCTATTAAGGGGAGAGGGTAAGCACTAACACTAACAACTTTTGTTAATTCTTATGTTGCTGGTGGGAACTCTAGTGCAGGGGCAATTTTTTTTCTGGTAATTTATAAAAAAAATGTTGAATCTTATGAAAAGTTCCAAACTTTTTACGACCTTAAGTCACACAAAATCTTATTTTTATGTACGAATATATGAGTAGAATGTTGAAAACATTCAAATTTATTTAGGTCTCTTAAATTTTCAATAATGATTATGGTCGAATTTCGTCCATTGGTCAACATTAGTATGGTTAAATAGTCGAATTTTTTTTTTTTTTTTTTTTTAAACTCTTAACTTTATCTTATTCCACTTGAATATGAATCCATTGCAAATTTGATTCAATGATTGTTCTTGGTTGGTTGTTGTATAGCAAAGGTGTAAAACCTGTTGGTTATCAATGCCGTTAATTAAGATTATACATAATTATATCAAATTAAACATAAAAATAAAACAGATGAAACAACGGATCCCTAATCTCTCCACCCCCCTCCTACATAAAATAAATCCAATCTTGAATGAATGCGTTAGAGATGAACATCATACTTAATATCTTCTAATAAGGAAGTACATATTTTGAGATCAAGTTATATTCTTTTTGTTTTATTTTCTTAAAATTTAACATTCTGCTTTAATTATTTATACATAACTTTTAGAAATAAAAACAACATTCGATGAAATAAGGGAATGCTCAACCGATGTATTAAATTATAATGATATAATTTAGAATTTTTTTATAAAATGGGGCATGGCAGATAGATAATTTTTACATTAAAGTTAAACCAAAATATTCAAAAATTGTTATATAATTTTTTTTTCTAAAATGTATGTATCTGATTGTTTATAAATTATTAGATGTTTTATAATAATATATTTTAAAGTTTTTTTTGCATTAAAGACCCTGTAGATCTTTTGCCGCCTTAACAAGCCTGCTCCATCTCTGCCTGTCTTGGGATATTTCTTTCCATTCATCTGCACGCAGCTCTATTGTGTCTTTGTTGATAATATCTATCCATCTGTTTTTTGGCCTTTTTGCCTTCTATTGGGGCATTCATTGTTACGTAGAGGCTTCCAGGTGCATTGCTATGAGCCATATGGCCTGCCCAACTTCACCTCCGTGCTTTCATATCATGAGATATTGATTGACCAGTTTCTGTAAGCAGTTCTTTATTGGTCTTTCTTCTCCATGTGTTAGTACTTTGATCCCAGATCTCTCCGGTTATTATGCGGAGAATTTGCTCTTATTTTATAGGATATTTTAAAGTAAAATAACTAAATTAAAATTTGTTTGTATAATCTTGAAAATGGCTCGAGTGGCCGAAACGTTGAATAATAAATACATAAAGTGAAAACGTTTATTATCGGTGACCTTTGGCCTAATACTTAAACAACAACATAAAAATGACATCAAAACTAAAAAAAATATGACAAGAAAATTATTATGTCTTCTAGTTGTGAATAATAGGAATAAAATAAAATTAAAAAGATGTAGAGATGGTTGACCGTTGATATGATATGAGAAGGAATTAGTCGAGGGTGCGGTCAAAAAATAAAAAAAATTAAAATATATAAATAATTTTAATTTTTGCCGACGTTTCGACCCACTTTGCAGGTCGTCTTCAGGGCGTTGGATGTGGCACTGCGGGAGGTGGCACTGGGGGAGCTCCCGCAGTGCCACATCCAACGCCCTGAAGACGACCTGCAAAGTGGGTCGAAACGTCGGCAAAAATTAAAATTATTTATATATTTTAATTTTTTTTATTTTTTGACCGCACCCTCGACTAATTCCTTCTCATAAAATTAAAAAGATGTAAAATGCAAGTTAAGTTTAAAGTTGTTTAAGATTATTAAAGTTTAGTTATTTCATCATTTTCCAAAGCAGCCAAAGTATTTGCTGGTATTCTTCTTTTGTTTAATTCTTTGATGTAAAAGGCACAACTAACTCTCAAAGATATGGACCACTGTCATTCTCTCTCCACACCTTTGACAAATGGGCGGGTTTTCTTTTGTAATTAAGTGAAGGTGCATAAGCCTGGTCTGACCTATTCTTAATCGCGTAAGGACAACTTCCTCTCTGTGTTTACTGCGACTGGAACTGCTCCATGGCTTCACTTCATTTTTTATCACCATAATTTATGTTATTCTTAAAAAAAATTTAATATTATATCAGAAATGGAATAAAACAAATATAAATTACCAAACTTTATTTATTTTTTATTAAAATATAACAATTAAATTATAACTTTAATTACAATATATAACCATTGTATTCATTTTATTTTTTCTTCCTCTTCCCAGGTTGTTTATCTTTTCTCCCAAACTTGATCAAATTCTTTTCATGAGTCGCTCTGAAATTAAAACCATCCCATATTATAAAATTGAAGCAATAATAAATGCTAATATGATTTTAATTTAACAAATAGATAATATTAAACTGTTAACAGTTTATAGTAAATCGTTAAGAAAGTCTAAGCAAATACTGATAATTTTTCAATTGCAGATTTATATTAACATTGAAAGATACTGTAAAAACAATCTTAAATATTGAATAACATTAAACTAATATATTTATTAGTACTTTAATACTACTACTAATAATAAAATAAGTAAGAATGCCACTTACTCGTGCCTCAATCTCTTGACATTCTTCCTCCTAGTGTCTGTCAGGTCTGAATCAAATGCTGATCTCTTGCCACCACGCTTTTGGCCTAGAAAGAATAATACAAAATTGAATTTTAATAAAAATCATTCAGTTTGAATTTATTATAATAAAATATAAAATACGGTATAATAGTATCTAATAGACCTGGAATACTTGAAAAAGTAAGACAACTTTATGAAAAAAGAAAAAAAGAAAAAAACAGAAATTTTACAAGCAAGAGAATGACACATAATTTATGATATATCACAAAAACACATTTATGATCTATCACAAAACACAAATTTATGATCTAATAATAATGATTATTACACAAGTTTATATATGACAGGTCAATCATATTATGGTTATTATGGATACAGTTTTTAGTGATAAACGTTTACTTTATGAAAAAAACAAAAAGACAATTTTGACAATGAAAAATTAAGAAAATTTTAAGGGAAAAAAAGAAGGAAATTTTACAAACAAGAGGATGACACAAAATTTATGATCTAGAATCACTGTTTGTCATAAAAAATATATGTAATAATGATGATTACACAAGTTTATATACATATCAATCATATTATGGTGTACAGTTCATGGGGCAAGGTCTGAGGTATACGGAAAATGAGATAGAACATCCCAATCAAACTGTAAGAGTTACTGTCTTAAGTCTAATGTCACATGTTGTTTTGCATTATGAAGGTAATAGAGCATAAAGGTTCACAAATAACACAATAAATAAACCTTAAACAACAAATAAAAAAAAGGAAGAAACTTATCGAGCACCCTCATATATAGGTCTTTGAATATTTAAATATAGAGGGCATTAGTTTAAAACCAAGTTATCGATGAACGTTGCTATAACCAATCGCAAGGTTAAAAATGGCTCTTGATTGTTAAATGAAATGAAAATAGATTTTTATTATCCTCGGACTTTTGTCCCTTTAGGACAAATTATAGATACAGAGGAAATGCTTGTGTGGCCATAAAATTAAATTAAATATTTACAATGCCCATTAAAATAAAAATAAAACAAAACCACTAAATACATACAGATATATAAAATACAAACATGTGAAAATAAAATAACATAATTAAACAAAACCATTTCTGGGAGAACTTAAAAAGTTCTCTTATCTATCAATCGGGTTGGGAAAGAAGTAGGTATTTAAAAATGAGAGATTTGAATGAGGAAACTGATTGCGCATGTCGGATATCAGGAGTGGTTTTCCCTCAAAATTTGAGGTTTTACGTTTCACGTTGAGACGTAGAACTCGAAAATCGAATAAAAAAATTGAGTCCATCTACACATTTTCTCCGAGATTACTGGATCAATTTTTTTAAAATTTAGAATCAAAGTCATAAATGACTCGAGGATGATCCTCCTACCTCAACATTAATATCTACCTTTCCTTTCAAGATGACAGCTGAAAAACCTTAGTTAGTATAGACTGTAGAAGCTAAACGAATGTACCGATTTCAATGAAACGTGACAAAAGTATTTTCCTCGAAGCCTTTTTAATTATATCATTAGAATATACTTCACCAAAAAAGTATTTCCCTTTCAAGATTGCAACCTGTGCCGTATAGACTGTAGCACTTGAACAGATATTGTACCGATATTAATGAAACTTGGCTAAATATGCTCTATAAATTTATCTATATAACATACTTTAACGAAAAGAAGCTGGAAAAAAAGTAAAGAATGGTGGTTAAATTCGATTTCAGAATAACTCAAAAAGTACACACTTTTTTGTAGGTAATTTAGAAGTTTACAAAAATTTCCTAAATAACAATCGTCAAAATTAGACAATTTTCAGTTCTACTGCAAAGCTTAAATCTTTTGTTTTGGTTTTAGATTTTTTGATTTACCTTTTATTTATTTTCCTTTATGTTACAAACAACGCAATATAACTTTTGATGTATAATTACTTGGAAATAATAAATCATTGTGTAACAATTTGGAGCGTTTTTTTACTTGTACCAGTACAAGGATAGAGAACGAAAGTTGTGATGCATGCACTGCACCATTCAATATCTTTCTTTTCTTTTTCCTTTGTAATTTTGTACATTCTACTGTTAAATCGCAGGTTTATTGAAAAGATTCTTAAAATGACATCACATAACCTTAAACCACCAAGAATTTTAATGAATTTTCTTGTTTGTATTGTATCCAATATATTGGAGCTTAAGGGACACCCTTTAATATATGGTAAAACCCGAGCTATTATTTGGCTACCTTCGCTTCGAGGCTTCCCTTCGGCATCGTGAACAGCGATCAACTTGTTTCCTTTCCTCTTCCTCTTGGCTTCTCTCGCTTGGTAGAGGGCGACTTTCTCTATCTCTCTTTGAGCTCTTTCCTCGGGTGTCTCTCCCTTATTCTTCTTTCTCCTGCTAGCACGTCCTTTTTTCTTTTTTCCTTTAGGCAATTCCTCTAATCTCAACCTCTCTGAAAATGAAAAAAGAAATAAAATAATTCAAGCTCCAAATTTAAATTATTAAATTGATCAAAAAAATAATAATAAGCACATTGCAATGTTTTTATTATTGTTATGTTTATATCTTATACTGTTATATTCATAATTTTTCCGATATTATTTAATTTTGAACTCTGATAATGACCCACATGTTTGGGTTGAAATGTCGGAAAACGCAATAAACAAATCTTTTTTTGCATCCTGACCATTTTTCATCTTTATATTTTATTTTGTTCTCTTCAAACTTAAATTTCGTTTCACCGAAAACCCAGCATTCATAAATAAAAGTGTGATCCTCACATTGGAATTTACATTTACTACTTTTCCTATACTATAGAAAATATAAATTATAAAAACTTTATAAATTAATATCAGTACCACTACACAACCCATGAAGTGTTTTGGGTTCAGTACTTTATAAGAAAGTAGAGTTTCAAGGCCAATGGTTGGGCATGGAGATGAGGAAAACCGCTATGTTTTCCCCTTAATTAATTAATTAAATTAAGAGTACCCATTTTATAGAGGAAGAATACTCAAGTACTCAAGGTAACATACCCACTTTATAGAGAAAGGACCCCAAGAGGGTTTCACGAGAAAAATTACCTGTCAGGTGAATTTGAGCCCGGGAACTTGAGCTTGGAAGTCAGTGCCTTATCACTGAGCTACCACGCTCCCAATTCACATGGGTATTTAAAAAAAAAATGTTATCTACCTTTTTCTTCTTCTCTTTCTTTATGAGATTGGAACCAGTCTCTCTTCTCCTTTGTTTCCCCTTTCAAAGACTTTTCAGCCTTAAGAGCTTCGTTTTCTGCTTTTTTCAAAGCTTTTTCTGACCACTCTTCCTCTAATACTCCTTTTATTTTTTCTTCCAATACTTCCACTTTAGCACGGTATTTTTTCAATATTTCTACAACAAAAAAAAAGATTGATATGAATATTAAAAGTATTTGGAAAAAATTTAATTATTTACTGCAGAAGAAACATACCCTGCGGTATAAGACGCTGCTTTGGAGTCCCCTTGAACTTCTTGAGAATACTCTTAATAAGGGTGCGCTCGCCCTGGCCTGCAAGGCTAACGGAAATACCAGCCCTGCCTGCTCGAGCCGTTCTTCCAACCCTGTGCACGTAATGTTCCAAGCTCACTGGGAGTACGAAGTTTATAACCTGTTCAAACATTTTATATGTATCATGATCACAATAAGCTACACATATAAACAAAACATCACAGAGCTGGAAAAAATACTAGTGCCTGAAATGTATTCTGAAAACTAATGTTGGTATGGTGTTTAAAAAACAAACTTTTGAAATGAACATCCTTTCAGTTCTGTCTTATGGAAGGCAAACATGGTCTCTCACAAAAAATCAAGAAAATAAAATAAGAGTCTGGCAAAATGCTGTAGTGAGAAGTATGGTAAACGTTGTGACGAAAAATAAAATACAAATAAAATTAGTTCGTAAAATAATTGTTAGTTCAAAGTTGTTTTTATTAACTTGAAGAGGGTTAAATATAAAATTAAGTATTAGTTTATAATAAGTCTTAGTTTTAAGTATTCATTTTATTTCGGATTGGAATAACCAACAGATGATTGGAAAACAAAAAACAGTTTAGAGAGGGATGGCGGAACCTAGCGAGTGTTGAGGCACGCTAAGGATTTTTGTGTGTGAACACTTTAGTTTTACGGTGTACACCGGATTTGTTTTTCCTATCTATGGATCTGTGATTATCAGCGACAAAGATTTTATAAGTTGGTGAATGAACATTTTCACAGCTTGAGGAGGTGGACTGGGGGACACTGACGACGCTAGTTTGAATAACCCAATCGCTTCTTCAGATAACCCAATGTGCCAATGGGACAGAGTTCAACCAGTGGGATATTGTAAATATGTACATATAAGTTTTTTTCCTATCTATTTTTTTTTCTCAAATATTTGTAATAGGTATATTGTATAGTTGTAGGTTAATGTTTAGTTCTATAATAATTTTATATTCTTTTCTTTCGTAAGTAAAGTTAATTGTATTTACTTTGTTTTCTTATGAATCTAATTTCTTGTTCATAATTTTCATTTCCTTTAACAGTTATTTAAATCAATAGAAATAAGTGAATTCATCATTAGTATTAATAATAGCCAGTTTTATTTTCTTCTTTTTCTTCAGTTTGTTTTCACGTTTTATGTATATATTATATTGTTTTTTTTTTAGGTTTAATAAGGAATTGTAAAACCCTATTCGATGGATTAGGGAAAGTCATTATTAACCAAGTAAGAAGGTTCGATAGGTTATGAGGTGAATTAACATATGTTTTTTAACCCATAGGTTCCAAGCTCGTAGCTCACTCTGCGTCCAAATCTTTTTTTTTTAAATTAAATTTATTTATTTATTTTTATGGTTTTCGCTATTTTCCAAATTCAACCAATTAAATAGCGTGGCGCCTGTTAGATAATTATTAATATTTAATTGACTTCATTATTTTTTTTTTCTTTTTTTTGTGTGAACACTGCCGTCTCCACTGAGCATCCGGCAAGTTTGTTGCGGAAACAATTTTTTCCAAATTAAAGACTGTAACAACATCAAAAGAAAGGATGATATAAAATATACTGATATTCAAAAGAAAACAGGGACCAGAGAATCATCCATGCTAATAAAAAGTTAAAATGGAAATGAGCAGGACATTTCTTGAGATTCTCTGATGAACGACACAGACGGTCATATATTTTAACGGAGTGGCAGTAGCGAGAACCAAGAAAGACAACAGAAGAGACGGAGTGACTCATTCAAAAAAGAGGCAGGCCCAACATGGTGAAGAACAGCAAAGAATAAAAATTCATGGAATGGGAGATATGGAAGCAAATGGTGACCCCACTTCCCAGCAGAGTTTGGACACCTTGAGAAGTATAAGACCATTACTCCTCTTAAGAGGAAGGCTAGAGCAAAACATTTTAGATTAAGAGAATATATATTTGTTTATTAAACTGTTTATTTTAGATGATAAGTAACTTAAGAGTTACCATACATTAGCAGGGCCGTGTGAAAAATTCGCACAGTATATTGTTCAGTGATCAAATGACAAATTAATAAGAAAATTAAATAATGCAACATAAGACAGAGGAATCAATTTTTACTTTATTGCTAAATAAAATCGACCAAGGAAACAAAATTAATTTGAAATTGCATTAATCTTTGGAACCAAAATGTTTGAAAATTTCAATAAGCTGTATTTTCACTAATAATTGTCCGATTTCAATGATTTTTTTTTCCTTTTGTAGGGAATTTAGTAATCTTGTTTAGTAATAATGACCAAGGTCACTACAACCAATTTCTTGGCTTTCTATAACAACAATGGTTGATATATGCTTAGTAACGCGGTGCACAATTTAATCAAAATGGACTTATGTAATGCAATGCTTATATATACACAGAGCAAGAATCAAATAATTAATGTCCAATCCATCACTAGATCCATTAAAAAACTCCCCTGAATCTACGCACTAGATATTTTCATCAATATAGCCAACAAGTCGTTACAACCTATATCGTTATAAATGATATCCAGTGTACTTGATGTTTGTTCAATACTAGAATGGTTTTTAAACTCAGGACTGCATTATGCATTATAATAAATCAGTAATCTCAGAACTATTCTCCTTTGTTTAATTCCCTTTTAATAATAATTGTTTTATATAAATAATAATTATAAAATTATTTTACACATATTTATATAACTTAGATAAGAATCCTTACCGTAGCCACTCCAGTTATATCAAGACCTCTGGCAGCCAGGTCTGTAGCGACTAACACATCAACCTCCTCAGCTCGGAACTTTCTCAAAGCTTCTAATCGCTGCGGCTGTGTCATATCACCGTGCAATTCCCCTGCCTAAATTAAAATATCATTAAATACTGAGTAATCCTTTTTAAAAATATATATTATGAATAAATTAAGATCAAAATAATTCCAGTCAATATTACAAGCCTTAATTGAACCATTGCACTTATAAAACTTTATTTAGGAATATCATCGGTTTATTGCAAAAAGTCACGAAGTGCATTTTTGATATAGGTTAACTTTCAAATATGTTTTTATAAATTTTGACCTTATGTTTTGATACAACACCGTAAGTTCATGTAAATGATGCAAAACCCTTTTATTTATCATATATAGTCACACTAAGTGTGCAATTTTTTGATTTCATAAGGAAAAATTGTTTTAAGTTCTTAATTAATTGAGGTTATGAATTATGAAATGTCACTTAATAACTTTTTGCAATAAACCAATGATATATTGCAAATTACAAAATGAGTAGATCCTAAACAATAAACTATAGTTCCAATAAAAAAAGTGTAAAGAAATCTCCTAACTTCTCCTTAAGAACTCTCTTTGAAGAGGAGAATTAAATTTATTTTTTTTGTTTAAATGATGCTGTTTTAATTTTCTTTCCTCTCATAATAATTTAAGAATCGTAAGATAGTTTTCTTTTGTATGAAGATAATGAAGGAGGCGTATTTAATGTACCATGCATCTGCTGGTATTAAGGATTTGTTGGCACCTGTAAGGTAAATAATAGCTCAAGAATATAAGCACAATATTTTTGGGTTTATTAAGAGTACTTGAGTACATATATCATTTTCAGAATCCCAAGGGATCTCTCTGTCTCCTGTTTTTGTGAATAGTAGAAATGACTTTATCCTTCCTTCCGTCGTAAGTGTTCCCTGGCATTCTTTCTCTGTCCATCATATATCTCCTAAATCCTTCAATTCAAATTCTCTGTCCATTCTTGCAATTCCCGCAAGGTCATACTATGGCTCGCCGATCTGCAGCATTTGAAACATCTTTCATTATCCGATCCTCATCCCTATGGAATTCCATCCCCTCCAACATCCGTAGTTCCAATAACCTACCGACCTTGAAATCCTATTCAATCTCTTCCTATCTATCCAATTCCCAAATAATTGTAAATATGTAGATAAATTATTAGTTTGTTTTTAAGTATCTTTTTTATTCTTAATTCATCAATGTTACAAATTTACTTATATATATATATATGTATGTATATATATATATATGTATATATTCTATTTCTGCATTTCATTTTATTTTTTATAAATCTCTGAGGCTCTAATGCACACAATTGTATTATTCTAAAGGGGTTTGTCCAAGAATAAATAAACTATATCATTATAAACTATTTTCAACTGAAAAAATAGTTTTATTCCAGGAGAGGAACGGGGAAGCCAAATGGGCCAACACGTGTACACAGCACCCCGAGTTGACCGGCAACCAGATAACCAAAGTTATGAGATTAAACAAGTTCGAGTTCGCATCCTAGTACCAGAGGGGATTTTGAATTCCCTGCCCTCATCCTCCGGCCTGGGAAAATCCTGTTAGCCTAGAAAGCGAGGTAGGGAAGACCAGAAAAAAAAAAGTTTTATTCCGGAACAAACTACCTTAAGAATAATTATAATGTTCTGATTTTAGGAACACCGCCTGGTTTAATGTTTACTTGAAAAACATATTATAATAATTTTAACAGAAATCAATATGTTTTTGCATCAGTAAGATAGTTTGATAATGAAATAGGAGGAACTAAAAATTATGTTCAAAGGAATACGAGAATAAGAATTGAAAAATAGAGATCAGTAAAGTATTCCAGAAGGAGGTAGCCCAGATGACAAAAGGTTTGTTGACGGAAGTACTTTTATAAGAGGGAATATATAAATCAATAGGTCGAGATCTTTTGTTAAGAGAGTGATTAGTGGAATGTATAGTAAGGAGTTCAATGATGTAAGAAGTATTTTCGTTCTAGGGAGCTCGTAGAGAAAAACATTTAAGAAATATTGCCGTCGCAAAGCAAGATAAAAGGACTTCCATTTGGTATGATAGATGAATATTACAAAACAATTCAAGATTCTTTAGGCTCATCTCTAGAACGCTGGATAGCCCGAACACCAAGCAGCCGTAATCGAAATGGGAACAAACAAGAGAGGATACTTGATTTTAGGAGCTACCGAGGGTATTCTGAGGAATACCCTTACTAAATTCAAGATGTCAAGATATAAAAACCTGAAGTCTTTCTTAAACATTATTACTGTCCAGTAATTATGTAATTGTTTAATAAACATTTTATATTATTTATTTCTATAAATTAACAGTAATACAATTCCTATATTACCTTCACGCCGAGAATACCAAGCAAGATATGGAGCCGGTGAGCCTGCTTTCTTGTTTGAACGAAGACCATAGTGTTTTCTCTAAATGTTCTGCACACAAGGGCGGCCAAAATTGCTTCTCGATCGCCTTCATTTCTTATTCTTAAAAGTAACACACAAATATATAGAAAAATATGAATAAAAATAAGGTGTGTGCTTTAGACCACACGATAGAAGTGAAAACATCAACAAAGCTAGATTAATAATATCAAATATAAATTATAAATAATAGCTCATTATAAAGAGGATGAAATGCTGAACATTTCCCTTTCTTACAGTATGCAGGTCTGATTTTTTGTTTCTCAGATATTTTAATCCATATCTTCAATAAAACTAGTCATCATTTAGTTTTCGACACTATTTTTCCCCTTTTCCGCCCTCTAACATGGTGTTGTATTAAGATACAATTTGGAATAATAGCTCATTACAAAGAGGATGAAATGATGAACATTTCCCTCGATAACAAAACAATCAGTCGACATTACACATCATAGATCTAACAGCTCAATCTAATTCAGTACCCTAAAAAAAAAGTGCAAAACGTGCATATAAAGTTTTCAATTCAAAAAAATGTATTTATTCACCAAAAAAATAATTTTATACATCTATAGCCAACTATTAATAATTCGAAATCCTAGGGACCATAATAAAAATTCAAATTATCGAGACCAAGTCATCAAAAATTTTGAATTATCAAGAGAAAAGAAAAGAAAAATCAAATTATATTAAGAGTTTTTATAACAGTTTTGAAAATATGTATTAACCTACATAAATTTTATTTATAAATAGCATCATGTAAAAAATATTACTAGGAAAATCTCAAATTATAAAGAGGGAAAGTGGTCTAGTTCGAATTATAGAATGTTCTCTCCCTCTCTTGTTATAACAAAGGATTTCGAGTTCAATCAATGATTCTAAAATACAGCATTTTTCCGATTAAACGAAATTATCAGCCGAAGAGTTCGAATTATCGAAGGTATAGTAGACTGTAGACCATTCTCCCAGAAAATATCAAATCCTATTAGAACAATATTGCCATTTGTCATTGTTCACCTTATCTGGATCCAATCTTTCCAGATTTACAAACCACTATTAGACTCTAAAAGTCCTATTACAATTTTGAAACTTATAGCAACATTTCAAGATAGAGAAAATAATGCTCTTTTAATAGCCAGAGTAATAACGGAATGTATCTGAGTGTTTAATGCATTTTTTCACCTCATTTCATATATATATATATATATATATGTATATATATATAAGTTATAAATTAGACATTAGCTCGAAATTCTTTCTGTTTTACAGTTTTAATTTTTTTTTTCAATGATTCTGTGGTTTTTGGATAGTAAATAAATCAAAGTTAAAGATACCCAAACTAAAAAAACACAAACTTTACTGCACTGTTTGTATAAATGAATAAAAAAAATAAATATATTTGTTTACTGACACCATGTACTTATAAATGGTGTCTCCAAGGATAGATTATCCCTTATAATTTACTATTTATTTACTTTATAACAACGTTTCGAGCTAGTTTGCTGATTTTCAAGTTATCAAAATCCAATAACAATTCCAAAAATTTTCTGTTATATCATTCTATTATAATCTATTTCCAGTCTACAAAAATAAAAATCACCACGTCCCTCGCATTTTGTATAATGCTTGTCAATTCCTGAACCCAGTACTACTTTCTCCTACTGTTTATATTCCACTATTTCTCCCACTATTTAGTTTAATATGGAAATAGATTATAATAGAATGATAAAATGGATGAGCAAAATAGCTCTAAACATTGTTATAAAGTAAGTAAATAGTAAATTATAAGGGCTAATCTATCCTTGGAGACACCATTTATAAGTAAATAAAGTGCCTTTGAAAATTTTTCAACTAAAGTAACTAAATATACAATCACATCATTTTTTGTGTATCTCTACTATCTATTATCATGTCTAATCGATAATCAAGGAGATCGAAATTGAGTGTAAAATGTAAAACCACTACAAATCAATAAAGAGATCCTTTGCCCAGTGTTTTGCCAAGACGTTATCTTTTTAATTTTATATAAATCCTACCTAGAATAAATTTTCTATAGACAGATATTTTTTTTTTAATTTTTAAAGCAAAAAAAAAAAAAAAAAGACTTACCTAACAAATTCTTGTTTGAGAGCGTTGCTAGTATCCACTCCCAATTTTATAGGTCTATTGAGGCAAACTGTGGCTAGTTCTTCAACACCTTAAATAAAATAAAATAAAAATATACATATATATTTGAGTAAAACAGATAAATAATAAAAAAAAAAAAAAAAATAAGAATAAACAAATATTAAAATTACCATCAGTCATAGTCGCAGAAAATAAGAGGCACTGCCTTGTTCGCGAACAACACCGCATAATTTCTTTCATTTGTTCCTTGAAGTTCTCATCCAACATCCTATCGAAAAAACATTTTTTATAACTGAAGCTACAGTATTTGATCAATGTATACATATTTTTATTCAAAGAATAAAGAAGAAAAATTAGATCTTGTAATGTGTCCAATGAATTTTTTATAATAATCTTTTAGAAATTAAAAGCTTTATTTATTGGAATGTTTAAAAAGTTTCTCATTTATTAAATGTAATTTCTTCGACTTTATAATTTTCCACAAAAAATATTGAGACAAGTATTGAAATTGAACACAGAGGTCATCAATGGCATCAGAAAACTATAAGACCATTACTAAACCCATCGATGGAACTCATTGCATCTCTGTATTATTCATTGATTAAATCACAGATGGGTCAGATCAGCTATTGGAGGTGGACAGATCTACTAAATGTAATATCATTAAAACCCAGTATTATCATTTGTCAATTAACTAATACATATTTATGAGAAGAAGTTGATCGGGGGGTGTGTTCAAATAAATACTAAATTATAGAAATAGCATTATTTAATTATTATGCCAACGTTTGGACCCACCTTGCAGATCTTCATCAGGGCTAAAAAATATAAAAAAATAGGAAATATCTACCTGCTGAATTGTTGAATTTCAAAACATAAATAAATATAGATAAAAAGTAAACAGAATATAAATATGTACAATGATGTAAAGATGGTTGACCGTGATATAATATGAGAAGAAGTTGATCGGGGGGTGCAGTCAAATAAATACTAAATTATAGAAATAGTATTATTTAATTATTATGCCAACGTTTTGACCCAACTTGCAGGTCTTCTTCAGGGCTTCAAAAGATACAAAATATATACAAAATTTTCACCGTGTACCTTTTATATTTTGTATTTTTGTAGCCCTGATGAAGACAGCAAGTTGGGTCAAAACGTCAGCATAATAATTAAATAATACTATTTCTATAATTTAGTATTTATTTGACTGCACCCTCCCCTCCTCCCTCCCCGATCAGTTTCTTTTCATATCATATCACGGTCAACCATCTCTACATCATTATATTCTGTTTACTTTTTATCTATATTTATTTATGTTTTGAAATTCAACAATTCAGCAGGTATATATTTCCTATTTTTTTATTTATTTTTTTCATTTGTAGCCTTTCAAGAGGGTAAACCTTCTATTGAAATCAAAAAAGCCGTTCCTAAATTCATCATAAATCGATTTTCTTGGGTGCTGGATTAAATCAATTGATGGATTCAATCAATGAGATTAGCCCTGAGTTAAGGAAGATAATTTATAACTACAATGAAAAATTTAAAATATAATATTGACCTGTCGGCTTCATCAATAATAAGCACTTCAACATTGTCCAGAGAAAAACCAGGCGTGTTCTTCAAATGGTCAATCAATCTTCCGGGAGTAGCGATTACCACATCAGGTGACTTGCGCAGGACAGCTTCCTTAAATGATAATTATTATTATTAATTACAATATTATACATAAATGATATTTAACTTTAATTTATGCTGAAATAATTATGAGGTTCATCCAGAAAGTAAAAAACGATCTTGTGAACATCTGGCTTTATTCTTCGTACCAGACAGGATATCAAATCACATAATTTTTTTATATAACATGAGATGAACCCGAAAATTTTTCCTAATAAACCTCAACTCAAAAGTTTTTTACTTTTTGTAAGACCATCGTGTATCATTCTGCTTAAATACCTGTGCTTTGACGTCCAGTCCTCCGACCGCCAGGGCAATGTCTATCCTAGTGAACTGCGCAAGCTGCTTCGTAACCTGATATACCTGCACTCCCAATTCACGAGTCGGAACCAAACAGAGCACCCTGAATAAAAAAAATAAATCGTCTTAATTAATATCTACTTCAAACCAGACAAATGATTTCTATTACATTTACAAGATGAACTACAACTTTGCCTTTACATTCTCAATATAATTTTCGTTTTAACTACAACTTTAATAGTTGAAGAGACGATTGGTTGGGATGATCAGTAAAAAAAAAAAAAATGTAAATATAAATAAGTTATATTTATTTTTATCTTTGCCGATGTTTTGGCCCAAAGTTCAGGCCTTCTTCAGTGAAAGAAAAAACTGATAACAAATAATATTATATTATAAGAATAATATATTAACATTAAAAATAATATGTAGATGAAATGTAAAGTCTAAAAAATTTAGGTAGAATAAACTTAAAGCAAAATAAAGCAGGTGGAATAAACTTAAATGAAATATAAAATAACAATAACAAAATTAGGAGTAGAAAGTAGCAGAAGAAAAGTTACAATACATAACATAACGTTAACAAAGTTAGGAAATTATGAATAAAATAATAACAGTAACAGAGAACTATGAAATAAATAATAACGGCAATTTATTATTATTTATTTAAGTTATTGTTTATTTCACAGTTCTGTGTTACTTTTATTATTTTATTCATAATTTCCTAACTTTGTTTCTGTTATGTTATATATCATAACTTTGCTTCTGCTACTTTTTGCCCCTAACTTTGTTATAGTTATTTTATAATTTATTAAGTTTATTCTACCTAAATTTTTTAGACTAAACCTTTCACCTACATATTATTTTTTCTTTTGAATATTAATAGTTTCTCATATTTATTGTTATCTGTTTTTTTCTTAGCCCTAAACTATGGGCCGAAACGTCGACAAAAGTAAATAAATATAACTTGTTTATTTTGACTGATCACCCCAACCAATCTTCTCTTCAAATATTCACTCCACAATTACAATTTTAATTTTATTGAACATATTTATTAAAAATAAGACAAATATCATAAATACATTAATAAAGTTTTATAACAATTAATTTTGATTATCAAAAATTTTCTAACCTGGTGACAGAGGCTACTCCGGTCGGCTTATACACCAGCCTTTCCAGCGTAGGAATCATGAAGGCACCAGTTTTACCAGTACCAGTCGGTGCACAGCCACATATATCTCTACCCTCCAGGGCTACTGGGATTGCTTGAGATTGAATAGGCGTTGGATGAACAAATTTCATTGCTTGGATGGCCTATAACATAAAAAATCAATTCGATTTTTTACTTTTCCGAAAATTAAAATAGAATTGCTGATCTTCAATGAATTCAAGACAGCTGGACACACATTGAATAAATCATTTTTGCAACATTATAAAATTATTAAATAAAATAATAACAAACCTTAAGAATAGGCCTGGAGAGGTTCATTTCATAAAATGACAAAGACTCGTCGCATGGTGGTGCATCATCGAATATAACTTTCTCTTTGTCATCTTCCGATTCGCTTTCTTCATCTTTAATTTCCAAACCGGCTTTTTTCAATCTCTTTAACTTCTTTTTACCAATCTTTTTGGTCTTTTCTTTCAAAGTATCTGAAAATTAAATAATAATGTTTAAAATATTGCTGTGTAACCTGATTATATAATCTTTTGACATGAATAAAATTAAGTTAAAATTCTTGTTTAGTGATTTCTCAGGAATTGGTGGAATATTATCCATCCTAGACTTTTGAAGTTCACACCCGTGTAAATAAAAAGAAAAATATTATGATTGACAGCAGACCTGGACAATATTTAAAATTAAATATTTTAAAATATAAAATATATTTTTTTTTTATTTCGCATTTTAAGATGTAAAATATAATTTTTTTTTCGCCTCCTTCCTCGCCTTTAAGGCTATACGGGGAGTTTTCCCGGGCCAGAAGGTGAGGGCGGGGGATTAATGCCAGAGTTAAAAGACCCCTCTCCCCCCTCCCCGTCGCCTAGACGCGAACTCATATTTATTTCAATATCATGTTGCCAGGCAACAGCGGTGCTGTGCACATGTGTTAGCCCGCTCTGCCACTCCCTCCCTTTATAAAATATAAAATAGATGCCAACATCCGAGTCTTGAGGTGAGATAGGAACCCGACCACTACAACAACTTTAAATATTCATAGATGTCCAATTCCCAATCAATCTACCAAGATGTTGCAGGAGATATGCAAGTACGTTCCCTTAGGATGGATAAAATTTCTAAATTTCTGTAGTCGGTTTTTTTATTTTACATTTTTTGGTTTTTAAAATATTAACAATTCACTTTCTTAACATGCGCTCACATATCATTTCAAATAAATTAATAATTGAGATAATTAAACTATAATAAACATTTTTTTGAGCAGAAATTGTTTCACAATATTCATGGAATCTAACTGAGTAATTGTAGCCATCAAAGTTCAAAATAACGTAACTTTTTATGAATTGATTAAACACACTTTACATAATAATTTGTCAGAATTTCGCACCCAAATTATTTCAAAACACTCACGAAATCTCACTGAATAATTTGAGCCATCGAACTTATAAAAGCGATCCAGCCATTCACTCCAAAAAGGGTTACATAGCTTTTAATTACCGATCTAAACAAATAACCCTAGTTTCCCTTCGCTTAGTCAGGTAAAAACTAAACATGTAATCTTGTCAAATATTAAAAATGATGCAAAGGAAATACGAAATTTGCACAGAAATTCAACTGGTAGGGATATATAAGGAGAGAGCAAAATCATTTAAAAAATTGAAGCAAAAATGCAAATTATTGCATAATGGTTTATTAATATTATATATCTTTTTTTTTTATTGTAACCCCACTGGTGCAAAATAAGGTACATTATATAGGTAAATATGCGAGCAATAGATTCTGTAAATTGGAAGTCACGTCAGTTTCACCAGACTGTAACTCTCATGACTTTAATCCATTAAATATTGACAAACTAAGTGTAGTTGTAAAAAACATTGAAATAAACAAATAAAATAAACCAACCATGTACAAGCTCATCAGCAGAAAGTTCAGAATCAGCAGAGCCATTCTCGAGCTCTTTTTCTTCGACGTTTTCCTCCACATCATTCTCTTCATTATCATTATCCTAAAAGATAAATATCAACAATATAATTTGACTAGTCATGAGATATTGATAAAGAATTTTTAAAATCGGGCTGGGAGTTTCTGATATGAGGGTATTCAAATTAACTACTCAGTTTCAGATATAAGTATAGATTATAAAAGTTTAGAAGAAAAGGGAAAATAAAATAAAATCATAAAGCTCCTCTGAAGGAAGAACATGAGGTTATATAAGGAGCAAAGTGATCCCAGATATAGAGCTCCTAAGATTTCATGTTGGGCAAAAGAAAGTTAAAAATCAAATTTGTAAATTAAATTTAATCAATTGAAAAAGATAAATGGATATAGATTGAATAAATTTTTTACTTAAGAACACAGAAACATGAAAACAAAAAGTATTTATTTATGCTCTAATATTTAATAAAATGAAATACTAACCTCTGCTTCTGTTTTCTTTAACGATTCTCTAGCATTTTTGATTTTCTCGTCCGTTTTGTTCTTTGCTTTCCTCTTGACATATTTGTATAGATCGTCCCATGGATCTTTGTTGTATTCACTCAGTGACGAAACAAATTCAAATCCATTATGGAAGTCCTTATTTTTCTTACTTTTCCTTGCCTTAGGCTGCAACTACAAACCAAAAAGGCAAAGCAAAATTAATATAGAAACTAGTTGGCCCGTGCGAATTATTAGCAGAAATAGCAAAACAATATGGAAATAAGTAGATCCTATGTATTATGTAAGGAAGTAATTAATGTTTTATCTTTGGTCGATTACATTATTCCATTTAACATTATAGACCAAAATCTTTGTACAAATTGCTTTGCTAGGGCTTAGTTTTAAACGCTGACTGGAAAGATAAAAAAAGTAATAAAGACAAAATAATGCCCTAATCATGGGATTTTAACATAAAATGTAAGAACAAACAAATGCCTTTAAGAAATAATAAAGTGAATATATCAGCCAGGAAAAAAAATGTAGTAAACTATTCTACTCCTAAATGCAATATCTTTAAAGAGAGGAAGCCATTAATAAGTATACCAAAACTAATGGACTGTATATATGTAAATAATTGTCCGATTTTTTTTTGTTTTGTAGATAATTTAGTAATCCTTCTGATTATCATGGGTACAATCACGAAACAAATGCATGCTTTTTGAGTTATTCTCAAATAAAATTTCTTTTCCTTCATATATTTTTTCCCAGGAAATTTTGGGAGGATAGAACTATTTTTCGGAAATGAAGGAGAAGAATATCTTCAAAATGAGTGGTGAATCATTGGATTTGATGAAGAATTGACGATGGTATGGCGTACCGACATCAAACAACACCTTTTAGAAATAATACATAGGATTTGCAAATGATGGTTCGTCGTTTATTGTATGTATACTTATATTATAAAAATTAGTTTATAAAAAATATAAGAATTTGTTATTAAATGTATATTTTATTATCATTGAAGCCTGAACCCATAAATTATACAACTACCAACACTGACAAGAACCCCTATAAAGAAAATAATTCATCTGAACATCTAATGACAACAAAAGCCATATTTCAGGTGCCTGGTAACAAAAGTAGACATTTCCACTTGCACTTTTGGGTGATAGTTATAATCACACTCGTTGATGGATAACAAAAAACAGTCAAATGTTGCTGTTATGACATCAGCTCTTGCCTCCACTGCCTATTCTCTTATTTATTTTTTTAAAACTTGTGTATCACCACAACAGAACATTTTGGATGTTGGAATCAGGAAAATCAATTAGGAGATAAAAGAGGAAAAGTTGGAAAAATGTTCACTCCTTATCCTTTAATCAGTCTCACTAAAAGAAGATTCACTTTAATTATTTGGTTTTCCTAATGTATAAGCTCCATTAACGGAACGTGATGTAACCTAAACATTATGCAAGTCAATTTAGACTTTGCCACTAACTCAAGAGATTGGTTGGCTCAGATACTATTACTGATTAACTCGATTACCTTCAGCATTATATTAACAAGTGTGACCGAATTCAATATGAATCATGCAGTTATTACTGCGGAGCATTTGTTAACTAGAGCCAAATTTGTTAAATAAATTTTCACAAATACAGAAAACTAAAAAGTTATATCCAAACTACAAACATAAAATCCTATTGATATATATATCCTATAGATATAAAGGTGCTAATTTTTATTTTATTTAGTGCTGCTTAGATGATTTTACTTGTTATATGAGCTTCAGTCAATGCAGAAGGAGAGTCCAGAAAGTAAAGTAAAGAAAACTAAGATAATATAAAGTGAAATCTTACTTCCTCTTCTTCTTCTGATGACTCTGAATAATCTGGTATCTCATCTTCATCACCGATCGTTTTAATTAAATCATCAACTGTCATATTTGTAGTAAACAATCACCACATTTACTTCACAAGATTCAAAACAGTACCATGCTCTCAAATCTTTGTTCCAAAGAGCTACACGCTCTTCATTCAGGTAGTACATTAACTTAATAGCTCTTTGGTCTCATGTTTCATATACATTTTAATACTGACCCGAAACATATTGTACATATAAATCTTATATTGCTCCTAAAGTAACAATTATTCTTTATTAATTTGAATCATTCAACTAAATATATAGATATTTTAAGCCAAGCTGAAAACAATTTGTCCAATTTTGTCCTCTTTCCACATTTTAATTTAGCTCGTTTTCATATTATTCTAATAGTACATGAAATTCGAAACGACGAGAATCGGTTCGCAGTTGGATAAATTATTAACAGAAAGAGATTGAACCTATTCAATTTTTTTTTACGAAGTTGGTATGGAAAACTTCATTTATAAAAGGTCAAAGTAAGTTTAAGGTGCATTCGTTCTATTCGAACAAATCCAGGAGGAACAATTTACAATCGTATGTCTCAACATCTGGCATATGCCGATGATGTTGCCATTATCTCTAAAACCCAAGAAGCATTATCAGGAACTTTCTAGGAATTCGAAGAAGCAGCAGCTAAACTAGGCCTTAGAGTTACCGAAAATAAGACGGTGTATATGAAAAATTCAAAAATGGAAAAGGAAATGAGTACAGAAATCACAAGTTTAGGTCTGTTGGCCAGTTCAAGTACCTTGGAAGCCTGGTACAATAACATACAATAATAAAATTGAGAGTGAAATAAACATCAGAATTACAGCAGGAAATAGATGCTATTTCTCACTGCAAAGAGACTTGAAGTTCAGATCACTCTCTAAAAGAATCAAAATTCTCATATACAAAACCATAGTAAGACCAGTGTTTATGTAAGGGTTTGAGACTTAGACCTTAACCAAAAATTCAGAACGCACGCTCAACCCCTGGGAAAGGAAAGCAATGAGAAGTATATGGGGCGGAATCTTTGATAATGGAATTCGGAGAAGAAGGAAGAATGAGGAGCTGCGGGAACTCTATGGTGAGGATATTGTAGCATTGATAAAAAGAGCCAGAATCAGATGGTTAGGTCGTGTGGAAAGAATGCCAGACCAAACAATGCCAAAGAAGATGCTGCATGAGAAGCCGGATGGCAAAACAAGTAGAGGGCGCCCTCGGATCAGATTGCTGGAGGATGTTGAGGACGATCTGAGGTGCCTAGGCGTTCGAAGAAGGAGGGAAATAGCACAAGACAGTGGATATTGGTTGGCTGTAGTAGAGGAGGCCTGGATTCTTGCAGGACCGTAGCGCCATAATAATAAATAAAATTAAAAAAATAAGGTACGTTTAAGATGCATTTAGTTATTTAACAAACAATGGAAAAGCTAACCTGTAAAATGGTTGTTCCTCTATTCTTGTGTTTTTTCCTCCTTTTTAAACAACTGTTTGTGCCCGTTAGGGTGCATTTATTCATTTCACAAACTATGGGACATACAATTATCTAACTCAGGGATCTCCAAATCTTTTGTCCAGCGGGCCGCATTGAGACCTTCAAGTCTTACCGGCCATGGCTTGAGATGAAGTAAAAATCTTGTTCTATAAATGACACTTCAACTCTGAATGAGCTTCATAAGAGAAAACACCAATGCAATAAATATTGTAGTAAATATTTTATTCCTCTTGATACCTACAGATGATAGAAAATATTAAGAACAAGAAACAAAACATTATCATAATGAAATGTCCATTTATGTATTGATTTATCCCATAGTTTGAAAAATGTTTAAACACACCTTGGTGATCGCCTGAACTAATCAATAGTGGACATCTGATTTCCTTCAATGTTGTTATTAATTATCTGTGAAGAGTATAACTCTCATCGTAACCTACAACTATTTATTTATGAAAACTCTTGGAATTGGGCCGTTTTCAATCTGAATGGGAACAAAATTTGTCTATTTAATCAGGTACTAAAAACTCGTAAATACCCATTTGCTTTCTACTTGGATCGCAAGATAATTTAATAACAAAATCGATGAAAAAAGTGGCCTTCAAAAATATTGAGCCGTTTGGCGTGACCTACACCTCCAAATTTTCAAAATAACGAGGTTATATATGACAAACGGCCCAATATTTTTGTAGTCCACCTTGTTAATCGATTTTGTGATCAAATTATCTTACGATCCAAGTAGAAAGGAAATGGATATTTAGGATGTTTTAGTACCTAATTAAATAGACAAAGTAGGCCTCCCTCCAGATTGAAAACGCTTCAATTCCAAGAGTTTTCGTTAAATAAAATAGTTGTAGGTTAAGATGAGATGAAACTATTTACGAAGTTTCATGCGGATGTTAATAATCCGATAAAAAGGGGTCTGCACCACGGACTATTATTGTTCTGAGTAATATTGTGTGTATTAACTATTTATCTTAGAGTTGACACAGACATTTCTTTTTTTTAGGGTTGCAAATGACTTTTTTAATCAGAACTATGAACTCAAATAACTTTTCTAAGTTTGTGAAATGTGTTTTATTTTCAATAATGTATGTGATGATTTGTAAAAAAAATACAAACAGCATACTTTTATTAACTATTTTAAATATTTTTTTCACAAAATTTGCCTTTAAACGTCAATTCTCCTCCCCCCCCCCTACTCTCATCCAAAAAAATATAATTCGATGCCATTTCATTTTAGGTAATATTCTATAAATAAGTATACTTAAAAAATTCTCGTTGATTTTAATTTTCGATATTTAAATTGTTTTCACTGTAAACTTTTATTATGGTATTAACCTAATAATTTTTCAACCAGAATTCATTTCTATTTTCCACAATGAAAAGGCGGGATGGATGCTTTATAAAAATATCCAATTAAGGCGACAAATTATTTAGTTTATGGCTACTCTCCATAAATTTAAAAGTAAGTTTTGTACACATATAATTTATTTTCTATTATTCTTTATTAACATGGAATGATATGCAATTTATTATACTTAAGCTGAACAAGAGGAATCTGTAAAGAATTTATAAGGCTACATTATGAATGTAATTACTTGCTAAATATACTTTAAATATTAGCTTAGTAGCATCTGAAATACTGTTTTTAGATTTTTTTAGTTGAAGCAATAAATCAATGAAAAAAATTTGATTGCTATGCTGAAGGCAAACCTCTAGAGGAGTCTCCAAGACATTGATGGATTAAGAAATTCAGTAAAATATGTCATATTTTCAGATACTATGGTTAATGTATGGATACTAGTTTACAAAGGACATGTCTGGTTGACAGGTGGGTCAAGATCACACCATTCCAACTATGACCTGAAAAAACTGCTGGTAAGAGAATTTCAAAGCTATGAGAGAGAAATAAGCATTGCTGTAGGGCTCGGAATCATTAATCACTATAAGGTTATATAATAGTATTATTTACACTAATATAGATATGTTACATCTAGAGAAATGTATTATTTTTCCTTTATTGATTTTTCATGATAATTATTTTCAGACATTTTTTTTTGTTACTATATTCTTGAGATGCTATTTTTTAAGAAACCATTACTACCCAAGTAAAGTGTTCATGTCAAAAAAAAAAAAGAGTTTTTCCGCCTTGTTAAATAAGTATAAAAGTCCCTGTTAAAGATGATTTTTTTAAAGAAACTATTTCTGTCCAAGTAAAGTGTTTATGTCAAAAAAAAAAAAAAGAAAGAGTTTTTCCGCCTTGTTGAATAAATATAAAAGTCCCTGTTAAAAATGATTTTTTTATGAATCACAAAAGACAGAGATTGTATCCCTATGAAAAGTATATATAACGTCTAATTTCTATATCTTCTGACAAGGATCTGTTGATCCTTTGAGAAAATGAAGCAATCTCTTCTTTAGAAAAAGTTTACAAAACTTTTTCATAGTATGATCAATGTGATCTTGACACAACTGTTAATCAGAAATGATATATGTAAAATAGCACTGTATTAGAATCTAACCTGGTCCCTAATGCCTGCCTGATTATTACTATGATTTCCTCTTTGCAACACTCTTGTTTTTTGTCCAGATATTAAAAAAAACCAATTGCTGTCTGCATCCTCTCTCCCATCGTACTCTTCTGTCTATTCATTGGACATTTAACATTTGCCTCAGCACTTACTAAGGTTTTAAGAATTCACTCATTACTAAGCCTTACAATATTACAAGGCCATTCTATTTGCCTCATTACTGTCACCTCATTTATATTTACTGGATACAGTTCTCATCATTCGGCATTGCATTGAGATCAAAATTCTCTGGTCGACTTGTTCTTCTTTGGTCCAATTAATTTATGCAGTAATTTCGAAAACCTTCACTATGTTTATAGTAGTTTTGTGTAGTATATAGTTTAATTTGTAAATCAAACTCAATTTAAGCGTTGGTCATTAAATATATGTGGTAATATTAAATTACACTACATCACATTTGCAAATTATATTTTAAAGTAAGGATTCTGGAATTTGGATAAGGTAATTTTAACATGTGATTGAGTTATTTTAAGTTAAGGTAATCATTTCTAATATTGCTATATAGTTGTTCTGTATTTAATTATATTTTATAGCAGGGTTCTCCTAACTTTTTGGGCAGTGGGCCACATTGAGGCCACACAAGCCCCGTGGGTCATGTTTTGTGATAAAAAAAAATCTTATTCAATAAACGAAACTTCAGCTGTGAAATGAGCTTTCAAAGAGAAAAAAAATGCAATAAATGTTATTGAATCCTCGTGTGTGTGTAATTAGCTAAATTTCATATTTTTAAAAATTTTCCCTTTGATCAAATTAATTTTGTTGGCCGGATTGAGGGTGCTTGCAGTTTAGAGCATCATGTGCCTAAATAATTATTTTAGAGATTAGTTTGACATCCTTAGCACAGATAAATGTTTTTTTTTTTTTCTTTCTTTGTGTAATAAATAATTTTTATATAACTATTTTACCTTTTATCTTTAACTTTTTATTCTCTTATACGTAGTCAATTTTCTTAGATTTTACAATAGCTTAATTTTCTATTTATATCTTTTATTTCCTTATATAACTTCATATTCTTTTTCTCTGTTATTATAAGATTACCATTTTTCATTTCTTATGTTACCTAATTTTGATTATGTTTATTTCATTGGTCTGTGATTGGTTGCTGTTATTATTATACATACTTTATTTTACTTTAATGTTCACTCAATCTATTTCCTTTTACTTAAAGTTTTTTCTACCTACATTTTTTAGTCTATACCTTTCACCTTTTAAATTTTGATTCTTTATTATTCAATTTTTATATTTTCTCATATCTAATGTTATCTGGTTCTTTTCTTAGCTTTGAACTTCAGTAAATGTAAAAATAAATATTAATTTTAGTTTTGCTATTTTTTATTTTAACTGATCACTCCAACTATCCTTCTCTTCAATTTTATATTTAATTATGTTCTTAAATTAGATTTCAGACTTGAAATTGTAATTTGATTTTTATTTTTGCTAGTATTGTCTGCGCTGAAATGGTATATATACTATAGTGGGAATAACTGATAAAACAATAATATTTCAATTATATTTTATTTATAAAATTACTATATAAAAAATTTAGTTATACACAGAGATTACATCATGGTCATGCCCAGTCAATAAATAATATTTACACTTTACAAAATAACAAACATAACTAAAAAATTTAATTATTTAAAAAAAATTTAAATCTAATGTCCTAGTTGAACTTCTAATAGAAAGCTAAATATATTTACATTGTTTTTCTAGCTCATATATTTACAATAGTGCTACTGATATCTAAATATTAACCAATTTTCATAATACTTCATTCGCACTAAAAACATAGGTTTATAGATAACTATTTAATTGCATATTTGATACCAATTTAAAATAAAAATCCTTTCCAGAATCAGTATAAGTATTTTTTTAACAAATGAAACCATCTCAAAACCTAAAATTAAATTACTAACCTGAGGAAAGTTAAAAAAAATAAATTGATTTAATACACAGTTCATAAATATTAAGTATTTTTTTAACATAACATAAGTCATGGAGAGATGAATTTTTCATTGTTTACCATCAAAGCTTAATATTTTTTCAAAATTCGACCAAACACCCTCCAGTCTAAAGAAGTGAAAGATCTACTTTATAATTAATTTTCTATCAATATTATATAAAATCGAATGATCATTTATTAATAAAGCCCGTCAGACATTATTCAGTGTATTACTAAAAAATAGTTTTATTCTTTTCTTACTTTTTTGGCACCACCCTGTTCATATTTTTGGAATTGATTCATTTTTATAAATTTACCAGAAGAATAATTGAAAAAAAAAAATGATATAAATCTAAGACTCTCAGGAGTTGAAAGGCAATAAATCGATACAAGAATTATTCGCAATGGGGAAGTTAATAGTAAAACATTAGGCTTCTTGAAAAGTAGCGTTATTTAAATTTTCTGCTTAAACAAGATGGAGACAGCTTTTATAATTCAGCTATTACCATACAGCACTTTCATCTTGGAAATGCTTTAATTAATAAATTCACAATGTGAATTTAAAGAAAGAAAAAAATTGTTGAAGTACATGGAATGTACTTCTTTTACAAACATAGATTATCCAGAAATTGGGGATCTGTTTCAATAGCGACGTGGAGAGTCTCCACCAGTAATGGGCGTCCAGTCGAACCCTATCCTAGACTCAGCCCTGGCTTCTTGCTCTTGCGGCCTGAAGTAGTCGATGATAGGATGGTAACTGTAATTTATCCTTTTAGGTGGAGGAAGCGTTGGTCTTGATGCTGTCGAGACGGTAGGAACTCCCATTGTATCAGCGTTCAAACTGTCTATTGGTAAAGCTGGATGTCGACTGTTCAAAGTAGGTTTGAACCTTATCCTAAAGAATAAATTTGATAAAAGTTAACAGATAGTGTGTGATAAAAGATAAATCTTAATCTTATTGTATTTAAATATTAATTTTTGAGTTAAGAAAAATATAGGTCTAGAACTTTGTTAGGATATTATAAAAAATAAAATATTTTTGACTATTGAAGTAATTTTGATAGTATTTTTAATTCTTATTAAATTAATGGGATTAACTTATAAAAATATATTACCAAAATATTTTGTTGTTGTTTTTACGATGTTATATTCTATTGATTAAACATTGCAAACCTAGCACAATGATGTGATAATATTTATTTAGTTAAAATAAGATATAACACTAACAAGAAAATTTAATGATTTTTGTTTCACTAACTTTATAAACGTTATAGATATATCACCATATTTATTAATCATATTGACAAATGACGAACTGGTTATTTTAACTCATATTTGTTTTAACACTATTATGAGAGTATATCTTCTGTTTATACCAAAAAGTCACACAGTGCATTTTTGATATAAGTTATCTTTTAAGTATGTTTTTGAGAATTTTGACCTTATTTATCAATTTAAAAACGCCATTTGTGCATGAAAATGACACAAACCCTTTTATCATATATAGTAACACTAAGTGCACAAATTCACAAAGGGAAAATTCATCGAATTTCTTGATTATTTGAGGTTATGAAATCATCAATTCATGACTGTTTGTAATGAACCTATTTTATCTTTTTTCTACTAATATTAGTTGATTTGGCTCTTTTTTTCTTTCTTTTTTTTTTTTTTTATTAACAACGGTATTAGCTTATTTCTATATTGTTATATTTTGTACTTATTTTAAATGTTTACCTGTCAACTGTGTTATTTCTTGTTGTTCTTCGCAAGGTATTTTCTAGTGGAGGGTATCTGATTTCTTCGTGGGGTACTTCACCTTCCAAAGGAAGTGGAGGTCCTCTATGCTGGACAATGGGCCTTCTTCCAGAATCTCGTTTCGGTGGAGTATAGCCTCTATTTCCCTGTGAAAAATAGTTATTTTAGTTCAACATAAGTGTTGAATTTAGGCGAGCTGTTAGTAGTATCTGGCTAATATTGTTCATTTCTATATAATTTAGTTCAATTTACCTAAAAATAGTTCCTGTTTATTGATATTACCTTTTTAGAATTATATAGATTATAAGTTAATAGTTATGACTCTACTTTTGTCAATAAAATTGAAAACAATTTAGGTACAAGTTCTGAAAAACTATTCTAGGGCTAATTTCAAGATCACATCAAGCACACTGTAGATGGAGGCCAACTGAATGAATACTCTATCATTTCAGTAAACCTTCATTATACAGAAAGTTTATATTAGGTTAGATCAGTTGTGGTTTCCTCTACTTTCAGTTTTTCTTATAAATAAATAATAGCATGAACCAACTAATCAAAATGTTGTCAGCTGTTTGTTGAAACTTTCCTTTCTTCCTAATTAATAAATATTTAAAAAATAAACATAATATTTATTCTGTATTTTTGCCTATGAAAACTTCCAGGTATACAAACAATTGGTTTATTTGTTGAATTACATGTCAAGGTGACGTTTTGGGAAAATTATTTCCATCTTCAAAACTTAAATCCCATATTTTCATAGCGATTTATCGCTATAAAAGAGTTAATTAAAAAAGAATGCATGTCATAATAATACATGTTGTTACATAAAATGTTATAATTATGCAAAATCTGATGTGCTCCTTTATCATGATTTGAAATTTATGTGATCTAAATATAATAAAAATATACGATCTGGAGCATCAACATTCCTAGAACTAATTGGGTGCCTGATATGGGGGATTCTATTAACTTTTGGATCTAATTATTTAATCTTTTACTATTGTTATTCAATGACTGTTTGTAACATAGCTGCATTCCAATTTTACTATATTTTAATTTTACTTAAGATATCAGCATAGTGTGTTTCCAAATGTTTGGTGTCTGTTTTGTAATTTACTGTTGTTCTATTGTTGTTTGTGATGTGGACGGCTTTGAGTAATTTTCTATTGTTGTTTTTTGGTTCTGTGCCTATTATTTGTGGTTTATTTAAGTTGAATTTGTGTTGTAATTTTATGCTATGGTATCCTAAAGCTGTGCCAAAGCTTTTTTAATTAAATCTTTTCTAGCCATAAATCGCCATGAAAATGAAATGAAAAAAATAATTATATTCTGGGACTACTGTCCCCTAAGAATAATAATAGAGTTACAAATTTATGGATCTTAGTCTGACATAATAAAAATACAAACTAATTTACTGTTAATTGTTATTTCAATTGTGCAATGGATTGAAATTAAACATTGTACAGATACAAGTAATTTTACATGTTAGGGGAAGTTTGAATGGGGAGTAGGTGTTGGAACAGGAGTTGTTTGAAGGAATTTGTGGATAAGGATTGACGCATGGAGGTAGGAAGTGAGTTCCATAAGGAAGCAGCACGAATGACGAAGGATTTGCTTAAGGAGGAAGTTTTATGAGAGGGAATATATAAGTCTATAGGTTGAGACCTAGTATTGAGAGAGTGGATAGAGGAATGTAGAGTAAGAAGTTCCAGGATGTAAGGCGGGTAAATATGGAATTTGAGTTTTGAAGATGGGAATACTTTTCCTAAAACGTCAACTTGACATGTAATTCAACATATAATTAAATTGTTTGTATACCTATTAGTTTTCATTGCCAAAAATAAAGAATATTAAACAGCTTCCCAGCAAAAAAGAAGAAAAGAATAATTTTTATGTTTTAGGCTAATGATAATCACAATATCCTGTTTTCATTGATTTATTAAACATAATAATTACAAATCTATAAATTTACTTTGTTTATTTCTAACAAACAATATAAAATTTAACAATAAACTTAACGGTAGAAAACATTGAAATTTCCAAAAAAGTAAAAGTAAAAAAAAATAATTAAATTTTGTTATATGGTTGTGGTGTTTTATGAAGAAGATATAAACACAATTTTTTAAAAAAATTTTTCAAAATTTCAGCAAAATTAGTTTCAAACTCCATTTCATTCCATTGTGCTTCATGGGAATAACACTCAGTCAGATATGCCTCACCGTTATATTTACCCAAAACGAAAGACACTTAGGGGTGTCTCTTTTGTCATTAGGTATTTATATGTTATCGTTGAGTGTCTGATTCGTAGTCTTACTAGGATGATTTCTTCTTTTCCGTTCAACTGGAGGTCTGTTCGATTGGGTACCACTCAACTTATTAACATTTAGTCACTTTACACATGCCAGAGACACTACCATTTCTCAAGAGCCTTTCCCTTTACTGAGGTACTATTTTCTTTGTAAAAGCATCTCCTGCTGGAGTTCCTTCCTTGATTGTTTTTTTTGCCATGATATTAGTTAGGTCATTCATAGGTCCTCAAATACCTGAGTGGCCCGATAACCACAAAAATATCTTACATCCAACACTCGCTAACACTATGTTTTTATATGTCTAACTGTCTGTGAATAATGGGTTAGTTAAAAAAGAATTTTTCATAGCCTTAAGGGCAGATTCTAAGTGTACATTATATTTCAACTATTCTATAATAATTAAAAGAATTGAGTGAATTCTGTAAATAAAATTAAAATAATTTCTCCATATTCTACATTGTTTAATTAATATAATATTATTCTTAATATTGTAATAATCAATTAATATAATCGTATAAATCAGGGTTAATCTGTCATTATATGACAACATGATCAGGGGTGCCATTCCTCCCAAGAATCTAATTACCCACTCCTAGATATTTTATTGCTCACATTTTCTTAAAAACAGAGCAAGCGTATAATTAAAAAAAATCGTAGATCGTTAGATACTTGTTGCGTTTTGTTCTGTTTCCTCTTGTCCCTTAGTATAGAACTTTTCATTCTGAAAATTCATAACCCCACCGAAATGTGCCTCCCCCCTCAAAAATTCAAAAACCCGCTAAAATATGCTTCCCTCAAAAATTTCGATGGCGCAACTTGCTAAATGTGATCTTAAAACTGGATGTCATTTTGTAGTTGTTATTTGGAACTAATACAATAATTTATAATAATACTATTTTAAAGTACATAATTTTAGTTTTAGATACTCACTGGAGGTTGAGGTGGTATGATTGGTATCCTGACTGCAGTAAGACTCTCGTCATTGGAAACAAGATTAGAATCAATGTGCTCCGAGGGCGGAGCTGGCGATGTCTTCTCTGGAATCATGTGGGAATAATGGTTGCCGCTTTTGTAACCGAGTACTCTGCATGAACAGCAGGTAGGGACCTGCAACATATTTATTATTGTTAGAATCTAGATTATAAAACGTGCAATAAGAATTCCAGTATGGGCAACAAAAATAATCCTTCTTATACACTTCTTTTCGATAGAAAAACAAAAACATAATTTTTCCATGATAAAATTGGTTAGAATGAATGGTAAAATAAATGAGTAGAAAAAAAATTAATAAGAAATATTTTATTTGTACAATTTATAGAAAGTGTTTTTACTGGAAATACAAAATTTTTATCCATCAGTATTTTAATCCCAGCAGTAAATAGTTTATATATATTTATTTTCTATTACATGATTAAACTAAATATCGGAAAATAAAAAAAATAAATTATTAAAATATTTTATTTTTAAAAATTCAGGAAACATGAAATAAATTGCCATTAAAACCAAATAATCTTAACATTTGATATTTAAAAAATAGTATAAGTATATTATGGTAACTATAAATATGAAAAATATGGTGCGGTGTGCGCATCACACAACTTTCACTTACCACTCACTTCTTAGCAGAAATAAGTATTTTCAGACAAAGGGGAAGTGAAAGTAAAAATGATAGATGCAATATTTCTTTGTGGGTATTTTTATTTGCATAAGTACCCTTATATACACAAATTTATATTTATAATAACCAATATTAATTAATATTTATATCACTGTAATCTATACAATTCTATATTAAATAATACCAACGATAACATTTATGAAAACTACATATGTATATATATTTATATAATATTGTCGGAGTTCGTACTATATTAAGCTCATGTTACTTATGCGTGTTCTAATCTTTCGGGCAAGCTCGGGTGCGCTCATATTCCTTTGGTTCTTCAATTACAACTATTCTCTGTTACAATCTCTTACTTCTCCTTTAGTTAATTATGAAATTCTTTCATATTTTATATTTGACTATTTTTTATATTAGAGATTAATGCGAAATAGTTAATTATTTCAAATTTAAAAAAAAATTAAAGCTACTTTGGAGAAAGCTAATATTGAAAATTAGCCATTTAAGCTCTGTTAGAGAACATCTGTCAAAATAAAACCTACATTATATTAAAAACTGCTTAATAATTCACTGATATACTGAGTTTAATCAAAATAGTTAGAACCATTTTAGCGAAAATCGTAAAAATGTGTTTAGTGCATCATAAAGTGCCACTTCCGGGTAGCTGATATTGACAAAAAAGTTACTGTAACGTCACTAGCATATAAAATCCTTAAATATACAATTTCATTTTGGTACGACTTTTGGTTTTTGAGCTAGACTGTTAACACACACACACACACACACAGACCATTTGACAAGACTTGGTTATTTGGACTCAGAGGACCTCAAAACATGTATTTCCGTTGAAAACTCAGATTTGAAAATTTTCACAATTGCATTATTTTCCCTTACTGTATATTACATATACAGAATGTTTCAGAGTTAAGTGGCCAAACTGTAAGGACCTCAAAACAAGAAAAAAATTTAATCTGAAGCAAACGCTTTGTTTAAGAGACATTCAGATCTAAATATTTTCGTTGTTATGAATTTTTTACATTATATGAAATAAATGAAACCTATTTATTTGTTCTAACTACTTTATTAATTAGTCCGAGTCAATGACCTTAATTCCTTAGGAAGAAGGATAATTGAATCTTGTGGAACAATAACACATATTCAATGCTGTTCTGCCACTACTGCTGCTGAAGAAAGATGCCAAGACTGTCTTAATGCTCAAGGAAATCACTTTGAACAACATTTAATATGAATTTAATGTTTACATTTAATTAATAAAGTAGTTGAAACAAATAAATAAGTTTTATTTACTTAATATAACGTAAATAATTCATAACAATGAAAACCTTTAGGTGTGAATATCTCCTAAACAAAGCGTTTGCAGACATACTTTCAGAGGAAATTTTTTTCTTGTTTTGAGGTCCATAGTTCATATTTTCAGTATGGCCACTTAACTCTGAAACATACTATATAGGTAAATGAAAGTAAAAATATGAATATAGATTTTACTAGTATGTAAAATCGATGGATATAGATATACTAGATTTTTTTTAGAGTAAAAATAACTTAAATGAAAATAATTCAATATTTACATCTTATTACTCCTCACCTGACTCCTTGAAATAAAGTATAATTTTTTCAAGGTCAAAATAAATAATAATTATAAACATGTATTAACCTTAAACACATCCACTGTCAATCCATTCTTTTCATCCCAAGTAAGCAGTCTATGGTAGTTGTAGACTTGTACACACTGTGATTCAATTTCATCTCGTAGGTAATGGCATGATCCTTGAGGTTTCCTGTAGCGTTAAATAACAACATATTGTAATTTTATTAATACAAACTAAAATTTAAGAATTAATAACAAATATTTTTAATAATAATAATTTACTAAAGTTGATATTATCGACAGCCACAACGCAAAGGCCTATAAGAACAATAGGCTGTAAGTGAACTGTAAACTAGCTAGTTCAAATGAACTACAACTGGCACCATCTATTGTGACACGAATGATAGATCACAGAGATTATCTACTCCAATTTAAATATATTTTAAGTAAAAATACGATAATAAAAAATTATTTTCAAGGAAATCAAATCCTTTTTCTAATCTCTATTTCAGTGTAACGACCATAGGCCTTGGTTTTCTCTTTACATTTCCTAAAGAAAATACCTACAATTCCTCAAATTTTATTTTTGAGGTAGTTCATGAAGAACTATAGTGAAACAAAATTAAGACCGGTCTTCACAGTTCCTTTTCGTGAACTAGTTCATTCACAAATTACCCATCACTAGTCTAACATATTTAAATAAACGATAAGTTATAAATTTTTATAATTTTGTCTTAGTTAAGGTATAAAGTAACTTGCAAATTACAAACTTGATACTTACGAACAAATCTCGAGCCGAAGCGTTTGGGTGTACTCATCGGTGTTGACGATGAATTTCCATTGGCCGCTAGTAGCGCGAGCCTTCTTCGGTCGAGCTAATTCTATCCTCGTCTGGCACATTAGTCCCTTGGTAGCTGAATCGGATGTCTGGTCACTCTTTCTTCTATTATAGACAAAAATTGGTATTACATATCTCTATATTATATGAAAATCTGTTTAGTGATTGTGCAATATTTTATTTTTCAAGCTCAACAAATTAAAATGCTGGGATAAAGACTTGAAATTAATTTATTTTCTTGCTTTCACTGCATTGAAAAAATAGTACATTGTGAACTACAGAATACATGTAAATTATAGTTATACAATTTGAGCAATGGTAGTACAATTAAATGAACTATTGTATAATCTGCAAAATGGGGTTGGTCCGCCGTTAGACATATGTTTACTTATTTGCCAAAAAATACATGTTATTCACTTTCCCTTAAAAAATTTTTCTTCTTCACAATTCTATTTACCTTAACTAGGTGCTACCTCACCATAAAAGAAAAAAACTATAAACAAAAAAAAGATAGTAAAACAAAATAAAAAGATAAAGATAAATCCTGGTTAGAATCATCAGGTCAGATATTCATACAATAACTTGCTGTATCACCAATATTTTAAATATATACACGCTTAATATGTTAAGCGTGTATATATTTAAAAGCTCAATTAGTTAAATTTACTTAGTTATCAAAACTTCAATGGACATGCATACATATAAAACACATACCTACATTGATAAATACACCCGCATACACATCTATAATATTCATAGAATAATACATATTAAATATCTCTGTCAACTTTTGGAATTCCCTCCCGATCAAAATTCGACATGCCCCTTCCCTATACACATTCAAAAACCTCCTATTCCAAAAACGGTCAGATGTCAGCTAACTATTAATATTATATATGTATTGTGTAGCAATCATATAATCATAATACTTGGTAAGAGATAGTAAATGCATTTTCTACTATCGACGTAGGAATTTCAATACATACATTTTTTTTTTTTTTTTTATTCAATTATAATTAACTGTTTATTTTTATATATATATTCAAGTAAAGTTTTTTTTTTTTGTTTTTTTTTTATGAAATGAACTCATTGTATCTCTTTTTCGTTCTTCATTGTGCAAAGTGTATGTTAATGTTGTTCAACCCTTATATACAATTTTGTTCATAGTTCAAGTGATTCGTTCATAGTTTTAATTGTTTTGTTCATAATTTTAAATGCTCTATACATAGTTTTATCTGTATTGTATATAGCTTGTGCACCAAAGGTTTTCTTTACTTTTTATTTTATTTTATGAATTTTATTTATTGTTTCAACGTTCAGGCCAGTAATATTCTATTATTTTGTACATTATTGTTATTCTGAAGGGACTTAGTCCCAGAATAAAGTTTTTTTTTCTATCTATCTAAATACCAACTCAACCACACTCATTTCCTTTTTTCCAGTAATATATCACTTATAAGCACCACTGGTATTCAATGTTGAACATTTTATATGAAACCAGATTAAAATTTAAATTATTATAAAAAATAGGTTTCTAAAAATATAGATTAGAGGTGATAAATATAGTAATATCGCATCCGGAGAACAAAATAACCCATAAATTATTTCTTAGCATTTTCAGCGGGGTAACAATTTATGCCAACCATAATAATTCAAGTTTGATCCATTCAGAACTCTTGATGTTATCTGATACATAGTTCTCTTTGTCAGCCCCAATGCTGAAAGGTCTCGCATGGAATCTCCACACCATATCACTCTCCAGGTCAAAGTACATGAATAGACTTTAATGACCATGAATGGCACTTTAATTGTTCTACCAATAGTCATTCTACAGTCTATGCTTTTGTATTTGTTAATCTTTTCTCTGTGCCAGTAAGAGGTACTCGGATTATCTCCAATGATCTGGGCATCTATTACGAACGTCTTGGCCCATTCCAGAACATACGAGATCAGATTTCACTTCATTTTGCTACCTACGTAAGTTTCTTCTTTTCTGCCTCATAAACTTTCTTACAGAGGTCTTCCTCTAACAGGTTTATGACAGTAAAGTGTCGTTATACCCTACTGTCAGGGATTAGGTAGCATGTTTTGTAGTAGACATCCCCCTGTATTTACTCCTTTAGACGACATTGTGTGAGGGAATGAGAAGGAATATATAATATATAGGAATGTGAGGTTGCACTGTGAATTGTACTCAATTGAGCAGTGGACAAATTGCCTATTGGAAAATCTCATATCGATAAACAATCGAAAAGAAGAAAAAAGGGCCGATCAGGTAGCTGCGGCTGGAGGAGGACGCCAAACACTTGAGGTCTGGACAGGAACACGAGAAGACGTCATCTGGGAAGAGAGGCTTACTACATTGAGGTCTGGACAGGAACACGAGAAGACGTCATCTGGGAAGAGAGGCTTACTATATTGAGGTCTGGACAGGAACACGAGAAGACGTCATCTGGGAAGAGAGGCTTACTACATTGAAGACCAAGAATATCAAGCTGACCGTTCACTTATATATATTCATTATCAGTTGTTAAAATAAATTTGTTTAATTAGACAGGAGTGAATAGTCATTTTATTTAGTTATCCATTAGGCTTCACAATTGAAGAATAAACCAGGTGAGTCAATTCAAAGTGTTTACTAAGTCCCTCATTTCATATATGTATTCTTATTGCTTCTTCTCACACAGTGTCACAAAAGTATTAGATTCCCAACAACAGTTAAATATCCTCAAAAAGTTGATATCCAGTGCCGGGGTTTTGTTTTAATAATTCATGAGTGTAAATAACCTGAATCCCCGATATAAAAGCGGAAGGCTATTCGCTATTCCCGTCAAAACATCTTTATTTTACATTTAACTTTTGGTAGGTTATTTACAGTTTGGATGACATGACTTGCAGTCTCGTTGGTAGGGCATCCTCCTCGGCATCTGGTCTCCATGAAGGCTCTTCTTCCTCAGGACGTCCTAATTCTCGTATCCCCTAGTTATATAAAATTATTGTTGTTTTTTTTATAATATGCTTTAAAATGAATATTTTACCTTTGCAATTCTGATTCCAACTCTTGCCGAGGTTCCGACATAAAAATACCAAATCGTCCAGGATGACCATCGCTTTTTATACTGCTGAGAATCAGCTCCCTGTTTTAAAGAATAATTAATTAAGTCAATTTCATATATTTAGTTAAATAATAATGACCAATAAACAAACAAATTTTAATGTTTCCTAATGCTTCTTCTTTTTTTTTTTTTATTATTTATTCAGAAAATGTGATACAAAGAAATACATGACAAGGCTTGTAGAGAATCTCCCATTGGTAGCACTCTAATAATGTATCTAAATTAGGAGATCACGAGGCCATTTTCTTTTCAGACGGCTAGGAGGGTTATCAGGGATCGAGGAGGAAGCAAGGTAGAAACGAAAGGATTAGGATGGTTCTGAAGTTTATTATGGAAGGATAAACATCTGGATTGGGCCAAATCGGAAACTTATGGAACATTCAGGTCATTATGGATTATTTTATTTGTTACAAAATAAGAAGCATTAAGGATTTTATGAAGGATTTTGGATTGTAAAGATTGGATACTAGAAGAATTCGATGGTTTAGTGGAGCTCCAAAGCTCAACTCCATAAGTCCAAATAGGTCTTATTATGGTCATGTATATGAGTATTTTGTAATTAATTGAAAGGTTAGAGCATTTGTCTAGTAAGTGCTGAAGTAGTCAGAAATGTCGAGCGGTTTCTTGTCGTTTCAGTCTGGTATGAGAATTCTAAATGAGACGTTTGTCCAGGTGGAGTCCTAAGTATCGGATTCGTTCAACAGGAGATAAGTGGGGTATTATTAAAGGATACTGTAGGACAGGTTCAATTCATAGGTTTATGACGAAGGGTAAAGGTAATTTGATGGGATTTATTGGAACTTATTTCAGTTCTCCAGTTTTGATTTTGGCTATTTCTGAAGAATGAAATGTTTTAGGTGGAGGAGCCATTAGGAGAGGAATATCCAATTCTGCTTCAGTATACTCAAGGTGTTAAAATATTAAGAACAATAAGTTGTATAAACAGGAGTAAGCTAAGTTACAAGATCCTAAACTGAAGTAAATAGATGGTAACAATTGTTGTAGTGTAATATATAATATATGCAATTGTGAATATACTTCTACAGATCTACAGGAGAGATTGAAAGAAAAGGAAAAATGATATAATATGAAATAATGGGCAAAAAGGGATGTGGAGAAAGAAAAGAAAAACAAGAAAAAAAAAAAAAAAAGTAAATCATTTAAGTTATTCTTCTTATTTTATTTACTTTTTTTTTTATTGTCATTACAAACGATATCCTCAGTATATTTATTTGGAAGTTGAAAAAAATATTTATGTACTAAAAAATTCCCTGAATTTAACAATGTTTCCCTGTTTTGAAAATTCCCTGACTTATCCCATTTTTCCAGGCCGGTCACCACTCTGAATATACCAGCAAAATTATTAAATAATATGAATATAAATCATACTCAGGGTAGTCATTTGTTTCCAAGCAAAGGTTGTTCGTTACTTTGGTACAAGTTTGCAATTTTGATCCTAAAGGCTTTCTCAACGGCCTACCTGGTCTCGGCCTGCTTCCTAGTTTGTCTGAAAATAAAATAATTAATATAAATATTCCTTAATTATAATTACTTTAAGAAATATGTAAGTTATAATAAAATAGTTTTGCTTTTCTCTATTATTTTATGGAAAATGTTTTACACATGTCTGAAAAACATTAATTTTAAATGTTAAATTATATCGCAGTGGTTCCCAATAAACTATGATATCATAATAGAGAGGTAAAAAGAGGAAAAGATAGTATCAGGAACCAAATGATAAGTTTTTTTGAACATCAGATTAAAATATCTTAAAAACTGACATTCGAACCTGCATACTGTAAGCGAGGGAAACTTTCAACAAATTTCATCCTCTTTGTAATGAGCTATAGTTCAAAATTGTATTTTGACATGACACCGACTTAAGAGAGTCAATAATAATAAATAATAACGACTGTTTTTAACATTTGGACTAAAATATCTCAAAATCTAAATACCATGGAAAATTCAGAAACCACTTTGCCGACATCAATATAGATATTTTTTTTTAATTTGTTGTAAAAATTAGAAATTAAATGTTTCTATTTGATTTTCTGTTGCACTTGATAGTGTTTTGACAAATTATTGATACCTTTTAAAAAAAGTTTTATTTAAAAAGAACTAGTTTTTAATCAAAAGTATTCATCGCATATTTGAGTTATCATAAACCTCTATTATTTCATTTTTAGAGTATGATACAAACGACAATCAATCAGAGCAAAGTTTATTAGAGTAACTTATATACAATTATAATTATTTATATTATAAAGGTTATTTCTTTTTAAATATAGAAACATACATACTTCTTTTTGTAAGTCAATGAATTTATGAATTCAATGATTTCTAGTTATTATTTAGAATAATCAAAATATGACAAATTATATTTTAGATAACCGACTATTACTAAATTTTTATTTTTATTTATTTGCTGACAAAGGAAATAGATTGAATGGTAAGAATTATTTAAAAATAGATATGTAAACTTGAACCCTGAAACTTTGACAATATTGGTTTATTAGTTTAATAAATAAAAGTGTCCTTGATGTGACAGAATGTAATATTTTTATATAAACAAATATAAAAAAAAAAATAAATAAATAAATAAAACAGACGATTGAATGATACTTATTGTACTTTTATAACAAAATATCTATTGGTGTTTTTGAAAATATAAATGCATTGTTTAAAAAAGAAATTGATGATATGACTAAGTTTATTAATTTAAATAATATCACTAAATATATTCTAGTTGATTTATTTAAAACTAAATAAATTTTTAACAAACCTATATGAACATTAGCATTTCGCCTATTAATACCACTCATTGATTGAGGTGGTCGACGAAAACTGGGCACGCTTGCAGGCCTTAATCTTCCTTGATGATATATCTGTAAACGAAAAAAATAAATAAATAAAAGCTATTTCATTAAAAATATTAATGCTCATTCAATTTTAATGCATGATACTAAATTAGTTTTTATATTAATTGGTAGCTGCTAACAAAGTCTCCATTTTAATCTTTAATCTTTGATCAAACTACTGCCGTAGTTGATGCAGCAAGCACCATCAATCCGGCCTGTGAAAGTTTCTTTGATTGCATGGTAAATTAAAAAAAATATAAAATTTAGCAAATTACTCATAAGCGAGGTTACTAGAACATGGATTTATTTTTTTTGGAAACTTTACTTCATAGGAGTGTCATTTATAGATCAAGATTTTTTTTTTCATCACAAGCCGTGGCTTGCGATACTTAAGTAAAAAATACCCTTGGTATCTTGTCCTACACTTCCAACAGCCCTGGCGTTGGATGACCCTTATTCTTTCCACGCCAATGGTGCATTTTTTAAAAACCACCAAAAGATTTAACTTCTGGCAGAAAGATGTGTTAAGGAAATTGAGTAAGATGGCCTTTATTTCGAGTATGTAGACTTTATACGACAATTGAATAAAATATATTTTATGCAAAAAACTTTAGTAATGACTTAATACAATAAAAAATAAATAATATAATTATTGTTTACTTCAGAAACATAGGCTGAACTCCGTCCGGTAGCTTGTTCTCTAGCAAGTCCTTTGAACATGTTAGCTATGTCCATGCTGATCGGGAGCATCAGCTGTGTTGTGGCGTTGTCCATGCTCTTAGGGATCATTGGAGTAGGATCATTCGGATCTAAAAAGAAAACAATAATAATAAATAAATAAAATAATGCTTATAAAATTATAATTTTTCTTTAACAAGTGATAAATTAATAAATTATAGCCATGTATTTTGCTACTTTTATGAATCATGGAAAGTTATTTTTTATAGAATAGGATTAGTTAATAGCTGGAAACAGTAGTTGTAGTTGATAATATGATTACTAAAATTTCATGGTAAAAAAATGATAACTACAAACATACTATGAAAATCAATAAAAGTGTATTTCAGAATTCCTGAAATATAGGTGAAAAAAATATATTTTTAAATAATCAGGCAAATGTACATAGATTTCAATATTATTCTTAGGGGATGAATAAATGCTACAAAATTATTTTTTCATTTTCATCGTTGAAAAACATCAAGGCCTGGGACGTTCTACTTCATCCTCCGTACTTCCCAGACCTTGCCCCATCCGATTATTACTTGTTTCTTTTGTTAAAAAATTCTCTTCGCGATAAATGTAAAAAATCCGAAAGCGAAATAAAAACGCATCTCGATGAATATTTAGCAAGTCTCAACAATTTTATAAAAAGGATATAAGAGACTTCCTGAGAAATGGAAAAAGATAAGAGAGAAATATAATAATACTGTAGATATATTATTACTCATTTATTTTAGTTATAAATGTAATGAATATTTATTATTAATTACACACAGACCTCGACAGACGGAATTTTCCATTGTCTATGTGTTGTTGCTTTTATATATATATTTTACTCTGTATATATTTTTTTAAAATATAATAAACACGTTTCATTCAACAGAAATATCTAAGGAGAGTAGCTAGAAAAGATTTATATTTCATATATGGGTAAATGAAATTAAAAATACGTGCAAAAAAATAAATTTAGAAATATCATTTTTTTCATTATTATTTTCAAACACAATGTACTGGACAGATTGTTCTGGTACACACCCTTCCTCGCATATCTCTAAAATATCCTTTTGAATTTTGAGCCGCAATTTTTTAGCTTTGTCTGGCGATAGTTGTCGAAGTTGGTCGGCAACAAAGTCCCCAAAAACTTGACATGAGTCTGTTGCTCTGTTGACATTGTTTCGACAGCTACCTTCATTAAGGCTTCTCGGTCAGAGATAACTCTATATTGCTCAAGATTCTCCTTTCTATCTGTCTCATCACTGACTATCCTCGCCGGCTCATTCATTTGTTGATTTTCATACGAATTTCAGTTCTCTACTCTAAAACTGCTTTTTGATGTAATTTTTCTCAATTCTCCATTGAATTGGCATTTTGTTTTAATATCTTGAGGATCTTTCCCTAGTTCTCTGGCTATATCATCAATGGCTTTATTTCTTTTACGGAAATCCTTGTATTCCCTAATGGTCATGTCCCAGAGAACTGGATGCATTTCATATAAGCTGATTAATTGCCTAGTTTCCTTTTTAGAACAAGCCCCAAAAATAGTTCTTGCCCTTCTTGTTTTCTTTGTCATTGTTGGCTGCAAACATGGGAAATAAGTCGAATATTCTACATCTTCACACTCATCATACATGGACATTATTAAAAAAAAAAAATGAAATTTAACTTCAAATATGAAACAAAACAAATAAAATCATATTTTAACACAAAAAGATGAAAAAGGCCATGGAAATGGATTTCTGGAGAAGAAGCTGTGGCATATCTAGAATCGAGCGGATCCCAAACGCAGCTATTAGAGACAAGGTCGGATGTCAAAAGAACATCCTTCACCTGATCGGGACCAAACGGTTAAAGTGGTATGGCCACTCAATGCGGATGGATGAGAACCGCTGGCCAAAGAAAATTTATAACTATATGTCACATGAAAGAAGGAAGCGTGGAAGGCCAAAGAAGAAATGGATAGAGGAAGTGGAGGAAAGCATGGCAGCCAGAGGGCTTCGTGAAGGAGATTGGATGGACAGGGAGCAGTGGCTTTTGGGTTTGGGGATATGACTCTTTAAGTTGTATAAAACCCAAATAAAAAAAAAAATTTTAACACAACAAAAACAAATTTCGCACTTAAAGAATAACCACCATTTTTACTTTGTTTTGAACGATTTAGAAATAATTATGACATAGTTTCAGAGCTAGAGATGGTTTTACAATATTTACAAGCCAGATAAAATTCTTGACAACTCTGTCACCAGTCATCTGTTTACTTTGGCAACTCTGACGTCAGAGCTCTGTCAAAACAACTCAAGAATAAATGTTACTGTCGCAACAGTCGGATTGTGCTAGAGTGTATTTGTGTTCCGTTTTGGATTAATAGTTCTAAAAGGCCTAATTTTAAAATAACTTAATGTAAATATTTTGGAAATGATTTTAAAGAAAACTCTCTATAAATCAATTGTAGACACTAGCAAATCCAGGATTTAATTTTGGGGGTCTTCAGCCCTATGTGTCCTACAAAAATATTGGTACGTTTGGCCTTTATAACCTCGTTATTTTGACAATTTCGGGATGTAGGTCACGCCAAAAGGCTCAATATTTTTTTTTTCTTCTATATTTTGATCATATTATCGACGATTCAAGTCGAATGCAAATGGTTATTCATGAGTTTTTAGTACGTAATTAAATAGAGAAAGTTTGCAGATCTCCAGATAGAAAACTCTCCGATTTCGAGGATTTTCGTAAATAAAAAAGTTATAGATTACGAAGTAATGAAGCTATTTACGAAGTTTCAGGCGGATGTTAATAATTTTAAATAAATGGGTCTGGTACCACGGACTATATATAAATGTTAAATTTATGACGTCTATGTTGTAATTTTCTTTTTTTTTTTAACTCAAATATTTCTATCTCTCATTTGTCTTGAACCACTGTTCTTCTACTATCTGTCTATTTGTAATATTTATATTACAGAAAATATAATTATTTTATAATTACAACTTCTGATACTCTTCCAAGAATTGTATAAAGTTGAAACGTTGCAGAGTGTGACCAAAATGCAAATATGACAAAATTTTTGATATAATAGAATATTGTTAAAGGAAATGAGAAATAAAACTATTAACAATATTTTACTTAATTAGAAAAGACAAAATTTATTTTTATCGTCCGATTTAAACAATTGGAACAAGTTCATAAAGCGCTGAGATCGATGAAACCGTTTCGCTCATTTTAAGAGGGATCCGATGCCTTTGATGAGTTTAGGAACTTGATTTATTTGTAAAAACAAATTGGGTAACATCTGATCCTTGAGCTCCTAGCAGACTTCATATATTTATTTGAAGCTTTTTCCACTTCTCTAACTTGGAAAGTGTGGAAGAGAACATTCAACATCGGAACCAGAAATGCAATTTTTCAAAGTTTTTTTTTTCATGCTTTAATACGATGACATGTATTTTTTTTATAATGATGTAGAGATGGTTGACCGTGATATAATACGAGAAGGAGTTGATCGAGGGGAGGGGGAGTCAAATAAATACTAAATTTTTACAATAGTATTTTAATGGATACGCCAACGTTTCAACCCACTTCATAGCTCTTCATCAGGACGTGGTATAGGCCATTGCAGGTAGCAGTTAATAGACTGGTCGTCAAAACAGATCTAGTCAACTATCAACTGCTTTGTTGTGACAAGACAAAATTGTTGTTATAATAGTATATTGTTAAAGAAAATGAGAAAGAAAACTATAAACAATATTTTGATATGTTCTTTAATAATTGGTAAATTAGAAAAGACAAAATTGAGTTTCATCCGCCAATTTAAAAATCCGATAGTTGTTTAGTCAACAACTACTGTCTTGTCTTCTATCAACTGCTACCTGTAGTGGCCTATACTACCTGATCAAGACCTACAAAGTGGGTCGAAACGTCGGCGTAACCAGTAAAATACTATTGTAAAAATTTAGTATTTATTTGACAGCATCCCTCGAGCAACTCCTCATATATATATATTTTTTTTATAATGTAACCACAAAGTTCATTTGAATACTCAAGAGATGGAATATGTATATTTTTCTTTTCGTCTAAAAATAATTTTAAGAAAATTGCTTGTATATTTTATTATACTGACCATGAGGTTACCACTGACCATTGTACTGAAACTAACAAAAGACCTTAACATTAAAGGTACATAATAAAATTATGTGATAATAAATTAAATAATCAAACTACCGTAAATGCAGGATTTGTACTTTTAACCCACCAATTAACAAGTTATCACGGTGTAAAATATCAGATTCCTGTGGGTTTATGTGCATGAAATAAGAATTCGTCTATTCTCGCTCAATATTTAGATTAGAATCTTTGGTATTTTAGTCAAGATTTAATTAGTTTAGTATTAAGTTAAGAGATGATGAAAACACTGCAATATCACCGTGTTAACAGCTGACTGAAAACTACATCCAAAATCAGCTGATTTTATAATTACTTTAACAAACGCAAGTCATTTGTAAATGTTAACAAAACGATCCCGTTAACTAAATCATTTTGCATAACTAGAATCGAAATGACGTTTTGTTCTATCCGATAGAGAAGGTTGATTTCGATTCCTGAACTGTTTACGTATGTATAAATAATTTTATTTAAATAAACATTGGAACTTATTAATGTATTTTACGTTAAAATTCGAATTCTTTGAGAATATTTTTTTCTTTCTCAGTCTGTTCCCAATTTTTTTCATACCTTATTTTATCCATTATGGACGTACTTGCCGATCATCGCTAGTAATCTATTTCAGTTTCTACTTATGTTCTACCTGTATGGTCCAGATTTCTTCTCCATGTGTCAAAATTATGTGCATCTTATAGAAGCATAACGCCTGTCACACTAGAATAACACCACTTTTGTTTAATATCTAAATTTCGACTTAATTTGAAAACAATTCATTCAGAGTAAATCTTAAAAAGTGTCCAAAATTGAATGTTAAAAGAGATAGTTATTTAAGATGGTTTATGATTTTTGAAAATATCATAAATTTAAATGCCATATCATACAGAACTGTCTTACAATCACTTGTACATTAACATTTGGTTTCAAATGTTTCTCA